GGGGGGTGGGGGGAAGCAATTGAAAGACGACCCCCCTCACTTCCCTCTTTCAGGAACAAAACCCTGGTTTTGTTCATAATCCCTAAAGATTCAAAGGCATTTATTACCCCAAGTCAATGAACTGCAATAATTGCAAGGAAACTTCCCGAAGTTACTTACCACTGTGCCACGGGCTGCTGCCCGGTGCCTGGCTTCCCTGCAGGTGAAGTCCACATGCCGCAAACTGATCGGCTGTCCTCTGAGTTGCAATCCAGCTGAAAGACCTGGGGATATTTTACAGTATTGATTACACGAAAAATCACTGTAGCACTCTGGAGATCACAGTCTCTTTCCTCTTTCTCTTTCTCTCCTTCTTCCCCGGAAGAGGAAAATATTCGTATGTGTTCATAGAATATATCTTGTACTAATAGATCCTTTGCAAAGGAGACAGTGTCCTAAGTGGCAGCTCCTCTTCGGACTCCTGGGGCTTCCTGGTGAGATATGCTGAGGGAGAGCTGGTGGATCCTGCCCTCTCCCTGCCTCTCCTCTGTTTCCCTTGGGACTGTCAGTGTGGTCCTGGGAGAGGAGGGGAGAGGGAAGGGGGAAGGGCTTAGAAATAATCTCTCCAGCATCACTCCGTCTATTCAGCAGGCAGCAGGCAGCAACTGGGTAAGAACATGGAGTACAAGGACAGTCTCCGACTAATGAGGTTTAATAATGAGTAAATTCTGGCAAACCTACTTAATAAAACAATTTCAATGTCTATTAACTCCTTCCATCGTAGTCATACCACAGTTGCTTGCTCTGGAGACACCAGTCAAACTCCTCAGGAGCAGTTTCCGTGTCCTGCATCCCTCTTGAAATTGGGGTTTTCTCTTAGATATCCCTAGGTGGAGAGGGAAATTTGTTGGGTCCATGGATGCTGGGCCTCAGCATTCCTTTGGCTACTATGGATGTGCTTTCCTCCCATAAAAGAATGGGTCTCTGGCATGCAAAGAATTGCTGCTGAGCACTCTCTTTTCCAGAGCTGCAGTGCTTTTCCAACAGCCAAGAACTTTCTCCTCTCTTCATTACAGATGATGGGAAATCAAACATAATCCTTCTCTCACTTTTCTCATACGTGGCTGTAAAAGGGGTGAGCTTGCTGTAATGCCTTTGGGTTCTGTACTGCCAGATCTTGGGCTGCTTCAGTCTAAAATTGGGATTACATGGATTCGACCCATATTCTACTTGCTTGGCCTCAGTCAGTGGGTTCAAGAAGCCTACGATCAGATCCTATTGACAAATACCCTCTGTGGTGCTCCCAAATGCAGTAAGAAATGCCTTGGCTTATGTTTATCCCCAGTGTGGCTCAAAGCACTGAACCTGAATCCTATTACTAGAGAGGTGTGTGAATCTGTAGGATTTACGTGTCCCACCGTGAGTATGAAGGTCGCGTGGAGAAGTGTTCGGAGCTTGGATCACAGAGCTGCTTTTCTGCAGGTGCCCTTTGCTGGCGCTGTGCGACTTACCCTCGCGGTGCATGCGGGACCTGCGCACTGCTGGCCTGATGCACCTCGCAAGCGGATGCTGCCGCTCTTAATCAGCGCTGAGCAATGCTACGGCGCAGCCTAGGACGGGAAGCCTTTGCTAATTGGACTTTTTGGCACATCTTTCTTGGCCCACGTGGTGCCCAGAAGATTAACTTCTTATCAGGCTTCACCACTGGGGTTTTCACTCAAGTCCTAATTATGCCATCCACAGAGAAAGACCAGATAGATGCCTGAAGGCAACTGAATTCTGGGAGCATAGCTCAAAAATCACTTAAATCCTGCCACCTTTGTGCAAGATGCAGTTTGCTCTGCCTATCAGTCTTTCTTATGGATTATTTTTGCAAAGAAAAAGCAAACCTATTCTAATTAACTTTGGATGGATTGTTTCACAAAAGGATAAAACCAATTAGCATTTCCTTCTTACCTTGTGAAGCCCTTGTGTGGTGCTTTTAAAGGTTGTATTTCTGAAACCAGCTGACAAGAAGGTGCATAAATCCAAAACAATGAGTAAATATTGTACCTAATTGAGTAATTTGAGCGTTGTACTTATTTATCAAGAAATACATATATTTTCATTTTGAAGACTTCACTTCCAATACTGGGTACTCTAATATTTGCTTTATTGGGATCTGCAGCTGTGTCTGTAGCTAGATCAGGGCCTCACTGCCAGCTAGAACCATACAAGCATCTGTCAGTCAGCCCTTAAGAGTCATCTGTCTTCACAAATGAGACAGAGAAAGGATAGAAATATTTTCATCTGCACTTTATTAATGGGAGATGAAGGCACAAAAAAGAGAAATACTTTCTTTGGTGTCCGAGGAAGCTGGGCCCTGACCCCGGCTCTGAAGGTCCTGACCATGTAACCGACCCCAAAGCCGTCCTTCCACCCGGGCCAGTCTCTGCCTTCAGCTCTCCTGGACCCTGCTACCACGTCTGTATGAGATCCTCCTTAGTGGGGGTATCTAAAACTATTAATGCTGGCACCACAAAACTGAAATCTCTCCCCAGGTGGGAAAGGCATACTCCTGGCTCAATTCTAACCTCTGCTGACTTGTTTTTTCACCTTTTTTTTTTGTTTTTCATAACTACTGCTGTAGTTTTCCTATTAAATTCCCTTTGGATTTGCCCCATTCAGTATGAAGTTCATAACCTTTATTTTCTTTTTCTCTTTTCTATTTCCCTTACAATTTCTGGAATTGCTCTCTCCTTGCTCCGCATCCATCTGGTCGCATCAACTTCTTTTACATGCCCTTTATGCCTTAAATGCAGTCTCCGTATGCTTCATTTATTTGTTGACACGAATGACATTCCTCTCTCCTCCCTGTTGTGTCCCCCCTTTTGCTGTGTTGCCATTCTACTGTAGTTTGTTTTAGGCCTGCCTCTCACATCCCCTTTGCACAACACAGGCAAGATGCTGCTGCTGAGAAGAAAGCCGAGCAGAAGAGGTAGTTCGTACCCAGGTGGCTCCAGGGACAAAGCAATTGCACGCTGTTGTACAGCTCTCTCGGCTGGACTAAACCTAGCCCTATGTAAACCAAGGTTAAAGCCTCAATCTAGGCTGTGTTAAAATTGATAGTGTAACTCTTGCTGAATCCAGATCCAAACACACACACCAGAGATCTACTAGGCTGGCTTGAAACCTTGTGGGTACGACGGTGCAGTTATCGTCATGTCCCTGTGGCACGCACAGGAGAATCTGGTAAGAGACACCCATTATGGTGAGCAGGATTTTCTTACATAGTTCAATAATGAAATAATTTGCAGGACTAGTATCTAGGTATTGATAATAGTTAAATGGTGTAGAAGATGGGAAAGCCAGTGACGTTCACTGTCACGTGCTTACCTGTGATTTCATCTCCTGTATTTTGTTCTCTGCAATTATGCCGGAATCCTGTATCAAGCAGCAGATACATACAGAATATAGATATACAGAAGAAAGCACTTTTTTCACAAAGCCTGTAATAAAACTGTAGAATTTATTGGCACATGATGTGGTGGTGGCCAAAAGTGTAAAGTATTCAGAAAAGGACTGAGCAAATTTATGCAAGGAAGGTCCGCCAGGTAGATCCAACATCTGGCACAGAAAGTCAGTAACCCACGTATTGCTGGGCAGCAGGGAGATATTTTGCCACAATGCATGTGCTTGCCCTGTTCTGGTTTTCCCTAAATTTTTGATAGATGATGTACATGGGGGATGCACAGCCCCTGGGGCGACGCGCGGGA